TTCAGTGTTTCTGTTTGTCAATTAAAAGTCAAGTTTTTTTATTTTTAATTTGACTTTGACCCAAACCCATGGACCATTTATTTTTGTGACCCAACATGTTACATCTTAAATAGAATTTCAGACAAAATGAATAAAAAATTGCAGAATTTTGAAGAATGGGTTTCATCTTACTGCACTGACAGATCTTTTACCAAATCTAAGAATTTATGTTAATGATATGCACACTGAGCAGTCGTATTCATCTACATACTTGAGTGCTCTGCACCACCTTTTCTTACCACTTTCTCTACAGCCCAAATGAATTTTTGATGAAGCCTAAAACCATCCTGGACACCATTTCTCTATTTTTATCTGTGCCCTTTGTGCTCCACTCTGATAATCTCCATGTCTCTTCCATTCAATCTGGTTTAATCTTCATAATTTTGACTGAATAGCCTCTTAACTCTAACTGCTCATTTTATCAGGAAATGGTTTAACCGAGGGCACGAGTTGAATAGAGAGTAGATTTTAACATGATGAATGGATAAAGGTCTGTTTTATCTTCTGTGACCATTTTATGAGATTGAACAAGTTTAGCTTTGAACCGATGTCAGTAAAACTTATTTTCCTCTCTTCTGCAGAATGGGATGATCTATACTGGATATGTAAGTTTAATCAATATTTTCATGCTTGCTGTCCTTCATCACTACTTGTTTCATCTCTTAGTTTGTTTTGACCAGCTGTTAATCATCTTTATTCTGTCTTTGTATGCGTTTTATTTTGGAGAGGTTTAAAACTGACTTTAGGAAAGACTAGACAATGTTCTGTTTTTATGTCCAGGCTCCAGCACCAGTGGCTTTTCCAATGACGACACCCCAAGTGCCTGTGTATGGAATGGTGAGGTCTAAATTCTCGTTTCAGTATCCAGAAAATCGATTCCTTGGTCAACATTACTCGTTTACCATCCACCATTTCCTGTTTTTCTTCACCTGTGCCGTGGTCAGCTCCCTCCTCAGATGAGTCATCAGATGGGGGGTGTTCCCATGATTCCCCCACAGCCTGTCATGTACAACCAGCCTGTCCTGAGACCCACCAGTTCATTTGGACCCATACCGGGTACACAGGTATCACAAAGACACAGATATATTAGTACAACTACTATGTCTTCTAATCCCAGAAGCTGTTTGAGTTATTTGTGTGTGTATAATGTGTGAAAATTTCCCCACTGTGGGATCAATAAAATTTTATCTTATCTTATAATGCACTTCAAGTAAAATATGCCCCCATTTTATGAGCTTAAAAGGCATAAAAAATCTAGCTACCCCTAAATTCATATAGATTTCAGGATTTTAACAACAAAAAATTAAGCTTTTGTTTATCTGCTTAGCTATGCACAAATTCTTATACAGAAGGAGGACAGGGAGAAATTATGGTGATTTCTCCTCGGCAACACAATATTTTAGTTGTGTACAAAAAAAAACTGAAATTTATTGTGGAAGTACATTAAATAAAAATCGGTCAAAATTACTCCTGTGTATAATACGACTCCTCAACATCATAGATGAATTTTGGGGTAACATTGTTTTTGCGTTATACACTCATAAATACAGTAGCTTTGCATAAACAAAGAAGTAATTAAATACAACTTAAAAATGTTCAAATATGTAGAAAAGGTCTCAGTTTATACCTCATCATTTCAGTTCTTATTATACATAGTGGAATTATTAYTTGGAAAATTCATCAAATTCACAAATTGTGTTTGCAAGTGGAACAAAAATATATAATCATTCAAAGCCATTCTTCAAGTTTTAAAACAGTTGATAAAGTGTAAGAAAGAGCATTTCAAAGCAATATCAACATTTGAGAAACAGGTATATTTTGACAAAATACAACAATCACTCCCGTGAGAAGCCGTTTTCCTGACTTTGAAACAGGGAACTATGTTTCTCAATAGATGCCTGAACAGATGATGAAAGGTGTTTTGTTGGGACTAAATTACTCGATTTTTTTCCCCCATATCCTCTCCAGATGCACTTCATGTAGAGATGATGATGTAACCATAGCRGCAAAGCTGAAGGGGAAGAGGCAAGAAAAAGAAAATGGAGAGAAAGAGCTGACAGCCAATGCAAATCCAGAACCAAATCCAGTGCAGGAGGAAGACACGGAAGGAGAGAGGACCAGGGGATGGATAAAATGCTGATGTCAATTTAATGTCACCTGACCCTCTGATTTTCTCTCAAATATCCGTGTGACTACAGATTTCTCTGTCATCAGCTTGAGAGTACAGAGCTAGGGCACCAGAGACTCAGAACTGAGTTCTACCCATTCTGTTTTGCCAATGCAAATGGTACTTAAACCTGTGCCGTTACTATAAAAGGCTGACAGCTACATGGAAGTTCTTCACTAATTTTTCACCCCATCTCTTCCCAATAATTTATTTAATAAAAGCTTACCCGTGTCAATCCATCCCACAACTGAATCAAGCTAAGAGGACACATCTTACTCTGACTGGATCATTTGCTGGCACTTTATTCAACTTTTGCCAAGGGTGTGTTTTCTGTGTAGGTGATTTTAGCATCTTGTTGAGACTGGTTCCTGGTTGTGTGTCATTCTTTACTCGATGTCAGAAGTGGTTCGAATGCGTGCGAGTGTGTCCCCTTTTTCTATATTTCAGCGAAGCTGCATCAACATAGTTGTTTCTATTTATGGAGGTCTATTTGTTCTCAAATGCGTCCAACAATGATTTTTGGGAATGCTTGTGTGATTGTAAATGGACGTAACTCTTAAGAGTGTGAACTGCGTATGTGTGTCTTTTTTGGTACCTGATGTCATGACTATGTTGCCAGGTACCAACGTGTTACTGCACTGGAACTAACTGATGAAAGCACTGAGCCAGATCCAGCTATCGCTTTTGGATGTAAACACACCTCTCACACTAACTTTGCTATTTGCGGGACATGCTGAACACACTGTGTATTCTTTTATTTATTTTTCTCTTCTGCAGCTGTGCAAAATTGTGAAACCTCAGTATTTTTTTCAACCATCTGTAGCCTGTTTAGAAACTGTTTTTGCTGTAGTGTTGTACTTTTTGAGTGTCCACACCTTGTTTCTGTACAAAATATTTTTTTCTGGTTGTTTTATAGCTTTGTTACACCTGTACTGCTCTGAAAAATGCACCAAGAGTCAGAGAAGTGGGTAGATATTTGGAAGGTCATTTTCAGTCTAGCCAATCGAAAACTGGACAATTTCCTGTYTTAAAATTAGATGAGTCTCTTTCCCCTCAGAATACCTGGATTTGGACAAGCACTGACAGCACATGTCCAACCTTTACCTGGAGGACTTTAAAACACTGGTATATCAGAAAGTTTGGTCGTCTAGTCTTACGATGTGTGGACAGGACAGTTGAAGGTCGTTGAGAGAAGTTTAGAGAACATCCTGACCATCAGGACGCAAGTGAGGGAAATGCATTTCGATCATGACCATGCCTGTAGTAACAGCATACAGATCAATTCAGACAGCCTAAGACAAGGAGCCTTAATCAGGCATTAAATGGTAATGGGGACTTTCTAGCAGATCCAAGGTCAAGTCAGACCCACAGTCCAATGATATATATAAATATATAAATACATATATATAGCACAAACCTTCAAAGAAGGAACAATGCTCTGCTGCACAAAAACCTTAAAATCATTGCTGGGATGTACAGTCGAAAGGGGCAATAATTGATTAGGGATGAAGTCGTTTTCTATTGATTGTGTCTGTTCTATGTACGTGTACTGTATGTGTGTTTGTGTGCACATGCCTTCGCCTAGAGATTAACAGGGTCATGTTCCTCGGTTAGAGATGGACGAGGTCTCTAAGCGAGTCGGTAGCGTGTACTTAGCATTGAGTRTTTTTGTGACAGTGTCCAACTCTGTACAACACATCAACTAAAGGTGGCTTAAGGAACAATCACCTGCTGAAAAATACAAAACAAGCTGTGTCTAAGTGAGTCCGAGGCAAACCTCTACAAACTGAAGCTGCGTGAGATGATTTCTAACAAAATCTGGGAATCCACACCTTGTGTTGCCAATTATGTTTGTGGCTAAGCCAACACCGTTCTCTCCGCAGCTAAGACTACCAACAGACTTGTTAGAAATCATCACCAAGCAGTTAAGACATCCTGAGGTTTCACCTTAAAATGAACATTTCTGTAAGAGTTCAGCTGTTGCTTCCCTCTCCATTACTTCTTGTTCCAGAGGTTTGTCTTTCTCCTTCAGCTGAAAGCTTCCTTCAGTGAGCTGTTCAGTGCTACAACACAACACCATCCTAGGCCAACCTCTGACTGTTACTGTGTCCCTTTTGTATATAGGCAATGCTGTTTGTGTTTTTAGACGTTCTCCCTCTGTAAAGTGATCAAAGCTCCAATGGATGACCTACTGTACATGGGATAATTTATTGCTGTATCTGTGTTTGAATGGTTGTAATTTGAAGGTGTCATCATCCAGGGATGGGTGGGTGGGTTCAATGTTTRTGTCCATCTCAAGGTGGAAGGGGGTGGGGTGGGGGGGTTAATCAAGGGTAAAGTATCACAACTGGTCAATACCAAGAGTGTCTTCATCAAGGAAGAGGGCAGGACAGGGTCTGCCCTCTTCAGAACAGGAACATTTTTTTGCACCAAAGTCATCATCAAAGCGCAGCTTCTTCTTATTCAATTCACTATGGATGGATGCTATCAGAAGTCCCAAGGATGTTTTTTTTTTTGTTGTTTTTATTTTTCAGAAGACAAAGAAACTTGTCTCTTTTGCATGATTAAGTGTTGTCTTTTTATTGGCTAGTGTGCCCGGTAACAGCATGATCATAGTGTGAACTCACTCTTACCGGTGTGTGTTTGGAAAATGTTATGGAAATTTCTCCATGAGATTTTTTTTAAACTTACCTCTTGACATGAACGTTCATTGACATTCATCATAAGCTGTTTTACAATGAAGTGTAACTGTTTGAAGGCCGCCTCGCATGGATCAATGCAACTTGCAACCCATCAAAACTTCAAACTCAAGTTACTTTAACTGCATCTCCGTAAAACACTATGAATGTCAATGTCGGTTACCACATAACTAGCTAGACATTGCAGTCTTGTAAAAATCGCTCTTTATTAAAGCGTTGCTATTTTCAATACGTGTTCGAATGCTTGCTCCTTCTTCATAATAAGCCAGCAGCATCACGAGAGGTTGTCAAAGTACTGTAACATGTGTTTGGTGTGGTGTTTTAAAGTGTTTGCCTCGTCGTCCTGTCACTTACCACCACTTACTTACCAGTTTCCAGTCATCCTCTGAAGCGCAAAGTGTTTTTTTAACACCAGGTTTCATTCAACGGGAAGCGCCAACTATGCTTTCAACAACTTCTCTTAGTTGTTGAGAATGCAAGTCAGAATTACTTAAAGGGTTTTTAACATAAATACAATGATTAACTCACTAAATGAGTTAAATGAGAAGATTTTAACATCCTCAGGCCAGTTAATGTCTGTGCTTTTAATTTTTGGTAGCAAAAATAGACATTTACTTTCCCTCCACTTCGCTTAGGCAAATACTTTTATGCTAATTTAGGAAATCAAAAACTAAATTTAATATAACATAAAAGGACCATGACGTTGAACAAAAAAATTGCTTGTTATAGTAACTGAAGACTCACCAAGCACACCATTATAGATTATTGTAAAATACATTAGAGGGAGAAAAGCTGCACTCACTACTCCAGAAACCGCTGTAGCTGCTGGAAACCTGTCTTGCGTTTTCAGAAACTGATGAGTTTTCATATCATTCAAGTCTACGATTGGAACAGTTTGTCCGTTTAATACTTTGTCTTTTATATACATGAACCTTACTCATCTTGTTACCTCGGCATTTCATTTGTGTATACTTCACCTGCCACTTGTCCTCTAGTGTCAATCTGTAAATGTTCATTGTTGTTGAGGACATGAAACTCAGTGGTGTTCATGACCAACTCTTTTTGCAGGGAGTGATGTCTCACAGCTTCAAATTGAGTTTTAATTTATTTTTTTACATTAAAGCAATTGGTTATCATTAAGTTTGGATTGTTAAACAGTTTATTTTTAATTATTATTTAAAATGGTTAATGTTTTTTTGAARAAATTGGAATAAAAACATCAGATGTAAAGCTCTGTTATTTGGTGTAGCTGCCACTATGTTCCTTGAAAATATAAACCATTCAAATATTCACACAGAGAAGATGGAATTAAATTGAAATTCATTTATTGATAATTAAACATGTCAAAGAACAAAAAGACAAAACGTAATTTAAAACATGTTAGTATTTGTGTTCACCGTCGTTCATACAGGTTGAATGCGGCATTGAAAATTTGTTTTGGGGAGGAGAGTCGAGAGTTGAACCAGCAACCGATCCTGTGCCAGGTTGTTCAACTCTGAAATCAGGGGTCTACCAGTGCGCTCTTCATCAAGGCACCTAACCCCCGATGTTGCCACAGGGTCGCTTTAACCAAAATTAAAATAACCCATCCAACCTGAATGCCCCAAATCTGCCTCTGGCTGTGATTGTCTGGTACTTTTAAGTGACAGGCTGTACTAAGAACAACATGTCTGCTGAAAGCGTGGAGATTTAGACAGAAGCTGGTACAGATGTCCTCGGAGCATTGTATGCGACTTGTCAAGCTCGGAGCAGGAATGWATGAGCAGAGTATGCTCGGAGAAAAGTGAGCAGTGGAAACCAAAAGCAGGAAGAACGTGATCTCCCAAACCAAAAAACAGGACAGGAGATAAAACTTTTATTTTCCAGAAATCTGAAATCTTGACAAATGAAAATCCCGAAGACAGGTAAGGAATAACAGGTAATGGACGTTAAGTGTTGGTGTGCTAGTCAGTGTGTGTGCGTGTTTCAGGGGGGGGGCAGGAGTGTGTGGTCTGAGTGTTTACCTTAGTGAGGAGACACCCCATCGTCCACAGCATTTCAGGCCTAACGCTGCTGTTTTCCCCATCCCACTCTACAGCTGCGTGCGGCGTACGTCCAGGGCAAGGGCTCAGTTTGGCTCCCTCCCACTCTAGCTGCAATAATCAGCAAGAGGAAGAAGGTGGCTGGAGCAGCAGCAACAACAAGGCATGCAACTGACAGTTCACATGGAGAAGGTGGAACAATGTGGAAATGTAGGCTCGCAATGTGTTCATTTAAACCTTACATCACTTGCAGTTGGTGTACCCAATGCTAAACACAGTTGAGTAATGTGGGATGCAATCACATCTGAGAGTCAAAGAGTCGGCTGGAATCAGGTGTGCTCTGGCTTCAACTACAAAGCGCTTTAAGTAAAATACATCTTGATGTAAATGAGGCGCTGTCTAGCTGTGATCTAAACCCAGAAAAGGTTCATATTTCTCACCATGTGTCCAAATAAGGTGATGAAAGCTACAGGAGAAAACTCAAYTTTTATGTTACCTGCAACACAGCCACAGCACATCCACCCTAAACAATACCACATCATGGCGATTCATAACAAATTAGAAGGAATGACTGCTCAACACCACTCACCACTTTTTCAGGGTTAGCTCGACATCTACAGCGGCTTAAAAAATGCAATCACCTCTTACTAACAGTCAATAATGTTACCAAATATTGGCTGGCGTTACTCTTTCAACCAAAGGATTCCAGTATTTACAAAACCCAACTTTGTTTTTACCCCAAAAAACCCTAATGTGTTCCATTAAATGAAGGCGTGTCAACTAATGCACCCTGCTAAAAAAAGCAAAAGGTCTGATAGAAAATTTGAAAAACTAATGGGAATTTAAGTATTAACAACGCTCAAATACTGTGAAAATTCTTAATCACGTATTTGCAGACATTAATCTCGCCTCTTCAAATTCACATTATGTACAAAACCAACAAAAATATCCTCGCCGGAGAAGTGGGTAATGTTTAAAACTGTACAATAATGAAAAGGTATTCTACTTTTTTTGCTAGAACGCTCAAAAATATAAATACTCAGTGTTTCTAAATGAGCAAAAATCAACCAGCTTCAGTTGACACTGGTATTAAAAACAAAAAAAAAAAGCCTTATCTAAACAAATAAATAACCAAATTATAATCAAACTAACCAAAAGGGGAACAGCCAATTAGATCATTTAATGTGAAAACGCAAGTATTTCAAGTCGCACAGAAAGTTTAAACCAGCTTTGATGTTCCTTGATTTATCCCCTGCATGCTATAGTTTTTAAAACACAAATCAATCAAACCCTCCTTCAAAATAAATCAAACTGCCTCACTGAGCCAAACGTTTACTCCAAAGTTATTTTCTTGGCACTGAAACAAACCGAGACAATCACTCTACGCTGTAAATCAGATGGCAGCATTTGAGCTCCAACAAGAACATTCAATGGCGCCAGACCTACAGTGGAGAAGACCAAAACATGATGTCACCATTTTTCTGAGTATAAAACCCAGAAGCTCAGAGACACCAGACAACCAGGTCAACCGTACCATCTGGTTACTGTAAAACTTATTTTCATGTCGTCTCTCATTTTTGAGCACATGTAGATGACACGTATGTGCCAACCAGCCTCTGAACAGAAACATAGCTACAAAAGATCACTGAAACTGGACTCCTTGAAGGCCTTTTACATACTCCACAAGGAGAGGGAAACTTGTCAGTTAGTCCAAACTAAAACATCTGCCAAAATCAGAAATGCTACAATAAATATTTTGGAATTATTACAAGACTGCAAAGTTTCTGAAAGATGAGCATAACCTAGGATTTTTATAGGATGTAGTTTTGTTTGTTGACCTATAGGGAACTGACCACTTATTGTTTGTCTACTCTGACATATACGAAACAATAGAAAATACTTGTTAAACATTGCAGCTTTTAAAATAACTCAAGTAAATCAAAGACAATCAAGAAATTAAAAATGCACATTTAAGCAGTGAAAAAATAAAAACTTTTGTAGAGTATATAAAAGGCCTTGATCCAGAAGCAAACTGTTTTAATCCTAACCCTGACCTCGGCAATGTCCAAGTGTTAACATTCAACAAGAAACCAGCTGAGCCACAACATCTAAGAGAAAATTTGAATGATGAGTGATAATCCAATTTAAGTTGCCCTATTACCTCCGCTTGTCTAAAAACCTTGCTAACACGCAGACGACGATTGGCAAACTATTTAGCCAAGTCAGAGAAAGGAGGCGATGCTTTAAAGCACATTCGAATTACAACCTGTTGAAGTTTCCTCTTTACGTATAATACGTGAACACACACAGAGGTGTGTAAGTGTGTGGGGGGTTGGGACTGACTATCGATAAGGGGGTTCTGGCGTGTGGTAAGGGTAATCGTGACGCTGGGGCATGGGTTGCCCGTGTGCGGGTGTCTGCTCATACGGTGTAGATGTGGAGTAGTTTTCCGCTGCTGGGTAAGCTCCAGAAGAATCATATGCTCCAGGTGCCCCGTAGCTTGCAGATGTGTCATATCCTGTCGAGGTGTTGTAGCTTCCAGCGGAGCCATCGTAACTCCCGGATGAAGTGTTGTAGCTCACCGAAGAGGCGCTGTAGCTTCCCGAAGCGTCATAGGTTCCTGGGGCGGCATAGGCGTTGGACGTGGCGAATGTCGGAGGGGCTGAGTATGTCCCTGGGGGTGCAGGGGCTGTGGTGGCAGCTTGTGTTTGTGTTGTAGCCGGTGGTGGGGGAGGCGGCGGAGGAGGATTTGTGTAGGCATACTGAAGGTACTGATACTGTTCCTGGTATTGTTGATATTGCTGGTACTGATGCATTTGTTGGTAGTACTCTGTGTAAGACCTGGAGTACATGGTAAAGTGTTAAAAAGAGGCAAAAACTAGTAATCTCCTGACATAAAAATACATTAAATTGTTTAATGTCTTACAGGCATTAGTTTATTAAACCTATGTCTTTAATCACTAGTATTTACTGTGTTATGATCACATTTACACCTATGTACCTTGAAACAGGATCTGACCCTTCAGCAGTTGCGGGGGCTTCTGCAGGCTCTTCGGGTACTCCAGGTGGTGTTGGCAGCAGGGCACGGCGTTTGGACCGCATCTGAGCAAAGGAGCTTGGAACGGGGTCGGGAAGGAGGGGTGCTCTGTTTCCTCTAATGGGACTGCGGTCCCGCTCGCTTTCAGAGGCGGCTGCTGCCGCCGCCGCCTTCCTTCCTGCCTGCTGCTCTGCCAGAACCTTTAAATGGAATAACCAAGTGCTTTTGATTAAAGAGAAATAATTTATGCATCTGTGTGCATTTTAAAATGAACCCACCTTTTGTCCTTCCTGAAAAAACTTCGCTCTTGCTGCCTCAAACAGTGTTGTTGGATCTGGTGCAACAGATGGATCTCCCTCATCCACAGCGACAGGAGGATTGGCCATTTCTTGGTACACCTGGTCTGCAACCGATCCATACACCTGGCTTGCAAGGGCACCATAAATGACCCCGTCTGCACCTTTAGCACTTGTGATGCCCTTTAGAGCAGCGTAGGTGGCGTCAAAGGTTGTTGTGTTGTAAAATGAGTTATGGACACTTTGTTGAACCTGCAAGGAAACATGAGCAATGAAAACTGCGGCGGGAAACTCCAATCCAATTGAAATCATGTTCAACAAATGTAACATTTGATAAATTGTTGGGTTTTATCTAACAATGTATGTTAGAGCTTATTAGGATTTAAAAAAACGTCCTGTAGAAAAGTCAAGTTACTTGTATGGGTAGACCAGCCGCTGCTGCAGCAGCTGCAGCTAGCACAGCTGCCTGGCTTTGGTGATGTTCTAGAGACGGAGGAGGTCGAGGAAGAAGACCCTCTTTGCCACCTGAAAGCCCAGGAGAGAGCAGAAATATGAGTAGTTGGATTTATTATATWTAATAAAAAAATCATTAATTTTTCTTTTACTCATCCAATTTGACAAATTACTAATAATCAACAACAACTATCTAACAAAGCTCAATAAAATTACATACATGTGAGGGAAAATGGAGCAATCTCTACAAATCGACAAAGCCTAAAAACATCATCTATTAACTATATCATCAATCTTGCATATTACTATTATTAGGGGTATAAGAAAATAGATACGCTGAAATATCGCAATATTTCATTTCCCGATACTGTATCGATATTCTAAAGCCCTGTATCAATTTTTTATTAAGRTTTAAAATGTCAACTTTCCTGCCAGCCGTTCATTTTTATGTTGTAGTTCACCCTCTGACCACTAGTTGGCAGCAGTGAGCCAGCCATTTGGCTCCTCTACCTCTTGAGGTAGAGGCCATTGTTGTGTTGAGTGACCATATTGTAAATTAATATTAAAAACTAAAATCTGCAAAAAATATATTTTCAAACTATTTATTGTCAAATTTAGTCTAATAATTGAAAACATGGATGAAATAAGAAATATGAAACAAATAAAATAAAATACATACAAAGCAGAACACAGCTAAATGTATCAAAAGCATGTCTCTGTAATATTAGAATTTTCTGAGACAATGAATTTTGTTTTTTCTTTTTTTCCCCAGTAAGAGGTTCTTATTTAATAGAATTTTTGGACAAAAAAAAAAATCGCAATATATCGCGATATATCGCCTTGCTTATAGTA